GCTTGCTACTAACGATTCTGCATTTATCGCAAGCTGTCTTTTGATTTGCGACGATGCTCCATGCCACACGGACCTGAAGCAAGTTTTTTGGAGTAACCTTACCGAATGCGACTGGCCTGATACTCTCCATCACTTAACCCCATCGAGGACATCCGGAGTATTATTAAATCCTATGTGAAGCAAGAAATGAGAGCGCGTTATGCTGAAATGCTCGGAGGTGACCCTGCAATTGTTCTAAGTAAAGGCGAGTGGCGGACACGTTTTCTGGAGAAGGTGGTGTCTGGAGCACGAGCATGAGTGACAAAGCATCAATGCGGGCATATGGTTCAACACATGTTCAACACGTGTTATTCATCTAGCAGATATGTAAATCATTTTTGTCAGTAAACTACTTATTTGTAAATGGTGTTGTTACTTCGTCGTCGTGGGTGGTCATACTGCACTATAGACTCTGGTTGAAATATGCAGTACTCGTGACAATTGCTCGGAAGTAGTGTGCAATATCGTGTAGCATAGATGTTTGCGTTTCTGTTCAGTTAAACAACCCTGTGAGAGCTTGAGAACTCGCGACGCATGGGAATACGGTTGTAGAGTTAGTAATGATCAGAAATCATTTAGCCGTTGTTTGGGTTTGAAGAGCAGACGGCTAATAGATTTGGATACGGGTAGATCAGCGAAGAAAAGGAAAACGTGCGAACGTGACTGAGGTGAATAGCGTGTGTTGTCCAGTTGCTTAGCGAATCATAGCAGTACGGGCGACTGGACGCTAAGGAAAATGAAGACAATAAGGACAGAAAAAATTAAGATGTCTATGATCGCGAGGGAATAGGTCCCACGTAATGTGGGCAAACACATCGCACCCACTAGCGATGGATCACCCTCCTATAGAGCGCGGCCTGAGTGCTTTCACGCAGTTACACTCGAATACGTGAACAGAGCGCACCCAATCTAGGCTGAGATTCGCCCAGGTCGAGGCAGTATTTATCACATGTCCATAATATGCCAGAATCTAGAGGACTTTCGAGCGCTGGATAAGATCGACGGAAAGGAAGCTAACACACAGCCTACGTTGGAGCTAAAAAGGTACCGACATCACAGTTGGTCATAGTGTAGGGTTCCCCAATCCGAGTTGAGGTCTCAAAGACCAGAAACACACCTGGTTGGAAAGGTTATGGGGATTGGCCCATGAGCATGGCTACACTCCGCCCCTCTAAAAGTACATCTTTGCCACTTATGTTTCACCTGTGTGTTGGGGCACTATAACAATAGCACCTCAGCCAAGTGATATATATATATATATATATACACTTATTGTCCACGTTGATACGTCGCCCGTCGCAATCGCAGGACGCCAGGAAGATTTCTGCGCTGCTGTCATGGCACCAGTGAAGGTGCCCATCGGTGCACATGCGATTTAGCGGTGTGAGCAAAGTAACCTGTGGCCTCCGCGCTTCAATGCGCCACTCGTATTGTGTCTATTGCCCCGTGTCTACAGCACGCGATAGATCGTACGGACAAGCGGCTAGGGTTCAGCTTAGTAACACGGAATGTGAGTAGCCAGTGGCCCTATTCGATAACAGTCTCTGTTATAGTGGCGCTGTGAATCGCGCTCAAATTCTATCATACACCGACCCGTTTCCTCTTAGCCTGGCGTTGGTGACCTCGGATATTAACCAGTTACTACCCCCATCCCCCGTCATTTAATCCGTCACCGCCCATGTGACAAGTCGCACACGAGCAAACTCCGGGCTGTGGTGATTCCCCTACACCCCCGTACCCTACACATGCGTACACGTTGCTATGTCTACTATGCATTCGACATGCTATTGGCTGACAGCGCTTGGTCAAGGAACCGGAGCACGGCGGTGTGCGCATGTCACAGTCGCCTGGCTCAACTTCCGATGAATATCGGAAGGGGTAACCTGTTAGCATAACAGAAGAAGTTGTTATCTGATTAGCTCAAGTTGTTACCTGTATGGCCAAACATTGATCGCAAATGGTATACTGAATACTGTATTATGGAGCAAGTAGAAATGAATTCTGTGCAACTCTTCCGAAATATGGTGAAAAACGATATAAAACTTGTTAACCGTGAATATAGTTGTCGTTCTCATGTAACATTTAGAATATCTGACTCACGATATTTCAGGACGCACAAATGTGATGTCATCGTAAGTGTGCAATCGTTCTCTGAATCGAATAGTGGTAAAATATAAATCTAACAACGTTTTGAACTGCTGCACAGATGTTGCCTCCATCACATGTTCAGGTAAACTGTCCGTTCGAAGCACAATGAGTGAGGAACACATTTCACATCCGGCACGACAAGTTTGTATCTGTGTCCGCGTGTGCTGCATGTCCCTCGTAAGTGCAGCATTGGCCTTAGCATTGGGAAGTCACCGAGATTTAGAATACGGTAGGTCATAATGAGGTCGACTCGCACCCGATGGTAGGACAAGGTGTAGAGTCCTAGTTTCTCGCACCGGTCTTCTACCCCCCAAGCCACGTAAGCTCGGGATGAGCCTGGTAACAACTTGTTGGACCTGTTCGATCTATTGTGCCTCGCCTCGGGTAATCGGAAAGTAGGCGGGCGAACCGTACTCTAGCATTGGTCTAATGATAGAAGAGACAGCGAGTGGCAACCATTCCAGACCATGTGCCGAAGCTACGTTTGAGCGCCCAAAGCATGCGCAGTCCGTTACGATATAGCCTGTTTGTGTTGTCCACGGACTTCAAATCGTAGCGTTAGAGTACACCTAGGTCCTTCACGGAGGGTGTGGGATTTAGCGGTTGGTCGTCAAGGGTGTAGGTTTGGCCGTCAGCACCCTTCCCCAGGCTCATAAAGACAAACTTGGTATAGAATCCACTACAGCGTCATTTTCAAGAAAGGGAGCGAAGTCTACATGATGATGGTGCTCGCCGCCTCTCCTCATTTTCTTCTAATCAGTCTACCGATCATTGTACGTTCTGACAGAGGGAATGGACTAACACAACCGAAGAAAATTCGTTAGTTCACTCACGCATTTTCACAAGAACCGCGCACTACCTTCGGTTTGAGGCGAACGATCATATTTGCCTTTGATAGCATTATCTAGCTGGGGCAGTGCTCACACAGCCCTTATAACAGCTCATTATGGGCCCTTACGTGAGGTCTATACCTTAACGAGGCTGTAGCCGCAATGGTTGGTGAAAGGGTCTAAAATATTGGTCTGGCTGGATAGGGTTATTCTTTGATGGACTGTGACCCAACATTCCCATAACTTTGAATTGGCAGGATGTTGATCAGCGCACATAGTGTTGATCGCGTGAGTGTCAATTGGCTTATCTATCCTCCCGCAAGCTGTGAGTATTCACTAGCTGCCTTCATTTACATACGGCACCTCAATCACATTTAAGGATATCCCTAGATCTTACAGGTCGTGTCTACCGTACCGCAGTATGGTCTTCACTCAGTTTCGAATACCTCAAATGCGCTCGTGTTTCTGATCGTTGTTAGTTACCTACAGAACGTCGCGTGTGTCTGTCGGTACAGCATGTATACAACTGTTCAGTGTGCAGTTGCATATTCCATTCAGATGGCTAAGTTCGTTTCGTCATGGGCAAGCGGAGGGCTGATTACTTACCGTTGATCTGAACAGGTACTACATATGATCGTTTTCTGCAGCGGGTCTTGTTCTATCTGCTGGCCACGGGATAGTGTTGTGTGCGAAGAAAGCAGCCAGTTGTCTGGCGGCAAGAAATAGAGTTGCTGACGGAGTACTATTTGTTCATCTTCCATTTAAAGCTTGGGTTCGCGCACCATTACTTGTGCATTAGGCTCGGCACATTACAGATATTGCTGCTTTCGGTATTAGTAACGTGTTTACCGTCACCTCTAATTGGAGCTACCCACTTTCCTACTGAACAAATGTTATATTTATGGACGGCGCGAGACGCGATCTAGCGGACCCATCCCTATTGTTTTGTACAACTTTTACTATGCATCGTCAAGGTAAACGACTTGTTTTCTTCTGGCGACACGATTTGCTACAATACCTCAACCACTCGTTTTATCCGAAAACACACTAAACATCGACCATTGTCATTTCAACGAAACTCCTTGGCATGTCACATCCCCGAAATCCATAAAGCAAATGGTGATAAGTAATTAGTTACTACGTTTGACTTTGGATAACCAGCAGAATAAGGATAATTTTGGGGATAGTGAATAACAAAATGCCCAACTGTTAGCCTCTTCCGTTGGCAAGAGGTATGTGCCCCAGTCCGAAGGATTTTTGGGTATCTAGGTTTCACATTTGCTACTGTACTCTTTTCTTTCTTTCTCACTGGTTACTTGACTGTGAACTTTCAGTACAGCCATTCATGTTTCGCTATTTATGGTTCTGGTTCCGCATGGAGATCCGATTGCCGCCTATTAGACTGTCTTTTGAAACTTAAATTAGTCTACATGTTCTCCTATCGTGCCTGATAAAGAGTCTGCGAGTGCTCTCACTGTTGGTTGGTTTTGGTCATTTTGCATTTCTCTTACTTGGGATACGCGGCTTCCAGCTATTGGACACTAGTTGTGCTTTGCCCCTGCAAGGTACACAGGCATGCCGCTCCTCTTTTACTCCAATCTGGCCCTGCCTTTGACTAGCTATCTATCGTCACTTAGCCTTAACGGTTCTCAGTAACTGACCTTTCTGGAATGAGGGATTCTTGGGTCTCAGTCATTTACCACACCGCAGCTCAGTGATCACTGCGCTGTGCACACCTTCCACGTTGAGGTCCAGTTTTACCATCTTGATTGGGCCTGATGACAGACAACTACTTGAATCTATTTTTAGAGATCTGCAAACTTTTACCTCTTCCCAACCCATATCGTACCCTATAACCCCGAGCACTCACAGTTTGTGCTTCCCTTCTCGCCGTAACTTTTGATTCCTGTTTAGCAGTCTCACCATTACACTTCCCTTACTACGATCTATGTGGGTTTGCATTTGCATTCTTTTCTCTCCCAGTTTTACCAAAGCTTATTCACAATTCCACCGAGGCCACATTGTACAAGAAGCACGGGAATATCCTTGGAACTGCTGAACTGATATCCGCTATGAAAGGGTGAGTGCTTCATTGCACATTTCCAACCTTGTTTGGTCTTCTTACTGCGATTGTTTCATTTTCAAAGGTAGTGGCGCATCCCGTTTCGCTTCGGTGGGGTATCGTTTCTCTTTTACCTCGTTTACTGTGCACAGCAACTGTTTCCTGACATATGCTGGACTGCGCACTATCTGCTCCGCAAGGAAGCTATCTCGGTGATGCCGCCTTATCTTCGCATGATAGCCAGCTGTTTGTGACCGTGTTTTTGATAAGGAATGAACTCCTTAACCTCACCTGTTTGTTTTGAACATTTAAATTCTATCCTAGACCACCGTACTTTCTTTCCTGTTATTCTTCGTCCCCTAAGTCATGTGGTTGTACGGCGGTGAAGCACCAGTTCAAGTGACTGATGTACGTGTTGTTGTTGTTGTTGTTGTTCCGCCACTTAAGCGGTTTCCTTTACGATTCACTACAGCAAGCAGCACTCACATCGCGCATTTCACCGGTTTTTCCATTTCGTCTAGGGTTTACTTTGTTTCAAGAACTCATGATCCGGCTTTCTTGCTCAGCTTGAGTTTCCTAACTTAGAGACTTAATACGGAACTTTTTGTGAATGAAGACATTTGTTCTATGCCGGTTTTTGTTGTGCGCGAACTTTTTCACTTATCAAGTGATTCCCCGTGTTGGAAAAGAGCTATACTTCTTTTCGTCACAGTTTGCACTGTCCTCATCTGAGGCTTACCATCAGCTTCTCGGCGATATATTCGCCTACCACTGCACGGCTTTTTCATTTCTGAATCGTATCGATTAGTGTGTGTCGCTGGTGAATGTACTGGACCACGGTTTGTATTGGCATTTTGGACTTCGCGGCACTCTCCTCAATTGTTTAACTCTCCTGTACGGCAATCACGAATCTGTCCAGTTCTAATTGCTGCGTCGCGTTGTTTCAATACTCCCAATCACCTAACTGACGTCCAAATGTTCAAACAGTACTTTCTCGGTTCACATGCATTGAGCCTACCCATTGCCGAAAGTACAAGGCCTTGCCACCTGGAGGTCGCGGGTTCAAGCCTGCGTGAGGGATTGGCCGACTCACTCGGGACTGGTGGGGATTTCGTAGCTGCGAAGCGTCCGTACGGCTTACTGATCATGGTTTTACACATACATAGATATACAAAAGGAGGGTTTGTTATCCGCTGAAATTGCTTCTTATCTTACAGTTCAATGAAAGAGCGTATTGCCAGTATATTTCGTATACAAAGCGGGGTGCGTGTCACCATTTTTGGTCACCGGGTGTCCTTCGTTCCATCTAGGGACCCTTTGGATCTCATGTCCTTGCCCAACCCCAATCACCGATTACTTTGCATCGTCTATCATCATCAACAATACATCACTAAATTGTAATGATAACTCGCTGCCGTGCAGTCACTGCAACCGTCGGAACGATGAATAATAAGAGGGAGAAGAGTCCCTAGCGTAAAACTTTAATACCCTAGGCTAACATTCAGGGTCAAGGCGTCTACACCTTGTCAACAACTTACCGTTACAAACAACTGGCTATCGTGCAAAGATATGGCGGTATCGAGGAGACAGCTATCTTGCGACTTTCGTTGCTCGGCGTCTTAATCACAAGCAGCCTGCCATCAAACACACTTTGAATATGCACTAGGAGACAGCAGCAAATGTGCCAATGGTACCTGTTGCGAATCATTCTCTATAATGTCTCTAACCAAACACATGGTGGTTCATGTGGACTCTAACCCGTAAGGCGAAGCTGACCAACAACACTGAGTTGGCTGCCAGATCGTGGCCGAATGGATAAAGCGTCTACCTTGCAATCCGGAGTTCGCGGGTTCGAGCCTGGTCGGTGACTGGGTGACTCTCACAGTATCATCAGCCCACGGGCGACTGTATGCATATATTCCTATTCCTTCGGGTTTAGACTGGATTTGGAGTGTGTGCTTGGAACTGTGGGTAGTGCAGCGGAAGCCACCCATGGTCCCTCTGTACGCGCAGACGTCCTGCGGCTGGCCACAATGACTTCCGAAACCGGAAGCCGCCAACCATGTATGTATGTGTGCCCCATGCTGAGGCTGATGTTGCATTCATGATGCCTCTTCACCTCGGTTTGGCTTAACAAACTTACACTTAATCTAGCTCTTTTGGAGCTGAATAAAATTCATTCCACTTTATTTGCTGTGTTCTACTTACCTGAATAACCTTCCATTAACTTATACACGTTGCTTACGCTAACTGTGGTTATCTTCGTTATCTCTCTTGCGTTTAACATTTTTGCATAACTTGAGGACAATTTGTACTTATCGCGTATTTGTTGCTGACCAACTTACTTCATATGCTACTTTAGCGAACAGTTAAGTCGGCCTAGCCGTATGCTTTAACATATATGTTTTATTCGTTAAAATTGCTTGGTTGTTGTGACATCTCCGGTGTGGCTGTGTGGGCTATGCCAGCTTACACTTAAACTAGGTCTTTTTAAGCTGGATGAATTTCATTTCACTGTATTTTTTTGTTCTGCGTACCTGAACAATCTTTTCTTAACTTGCACACATTGCTTACGCTATTTGCGCTTATCTTCGATAACCTTGTTGGGTTTGTAGCATTGTTAAGTAACCTGCTGACATTTTGTAGTTATCGCGGATTCGTCGCTAACGCAGTCACTTCATGTGCTTATTTAGCGAAGAGTTATGCCACTGTATCTGTATGCATTATTCGATTTACTTTATTCGGGATCGTGGTTTCAAGTGATTAGCTGTTGTTTGGTATCTCCGGTGTGGCTGCGCTTGATGTGCATGTTGACAAGGTGCCTACCTGTCTCTTACCCACTACCTTGTCCATACTGGCTCCAGGAGACAGTTAGTTTTTGCTGGATGGGGCTTGCGTGTTATCCTCCGGGATACATGGAGACTGCGCCGCGACTACGAGGTCGTTTATTAAGATTACGCTCGAATATTTGTAGAGTATATACACTATTTACAACTGTCCGTTTCGATGGCTCATTCCCGTTATTTGCATTGTGTCGCTGGCTCCTTTTCCATTGATTTATACTTGATCGCCACGTTCAGTCTGTCTAAAATCACCTTGACTTTCTTGGTGGATGTACGATTGGTGGGATTGGGCCCGCGCGCTTCTTCCCTCAGTCCAGTGCCACAAGCCTTGGCTCAAAGGTGCACTAGTATGCGCTCCTTCGCGTGTTAACGCCTGGTTGGTCGCTTGCACGTTCAGTGAATGGTTGCAGGCTGGACGCGATCACGGGTCAACAATTTCCTGACTGGCTGACCAATCTGCTTCCTGCAACATGCTCACTCCCTATCGGTCTGGTCTGTGAGGTTCGATCGTCATTATAGCATTTTCAGCCCCCATCACATCCTTTCCTTTTTCGTTTTTTTAGGATGGCGTTTTTTCCCCGTATTGCCTACCACTTCTTGGGCGTTTAATCTTCTGTGCTTGTATAGCAGTATTCCTCTCCGGTTGTTGTTGCTGACCCTCTCTCTGCGGTGTCCACTTCTGTCGCCCTCTTTTCTGTTGCACCCGATTCCGTCGAATGCGATTGCCCCTAACCTTGACTTCATAGCTCCTCTCTCCCTTCCAGCCTTCGATCACTCCTATCCGCCAGCATCCACCGGATCCTGGTAATGGCTGTACCCATACTTCTCCTGTACCTAGTGGTGGGAGGCTTTTCGATCCGCGATTATAGTACTTTTTGCGTTAGCATTCTGTTCCGTAATCGGTCGTGTTGAACATCGGACAGCGGCATCTCGGGCTGCAGTAGGGTTGTAACAGTTGGTATTAGCGTCCTTGTTCGGCGACTGAATAGACGCTGTGCTAGACTCGCTCCGATGTCAGTAGGTGGTGTATTCCTTCGATCCAGAAGCATTATATACGGACCTTGCTGGCTCTCCTTGGCTTTTGTAAGCCCTTTCTTCGCCTCCTTCACTGCGGACTCAGCTTTACCGTTTGATCGGCTATTTTATGGGCTGGTTAGCCGGTGACGAGAATCCCACTTCTTGCTCAATGCACGAACCTCTGCACTATTAAATTGCCGCCCGTAGTCTAAAATCACCACCTCGGATATTCCATGCCGAGCGAATTGGCACCGAACTTGTTCACCACGGATTGCGTACTAGTCATCGTAAGTGCATCGATCTCGAAGTAGTTACTAAACTAATCTATCACAATCAAATAGTTCCTTCCATATTGAGAAAAAATGTTTAGTGCAACCATCTGCAGGGGTTTGTCAGTAACGTCACGTAGCATCATCGGTTCTTTGGCTGGCGTACGTCGTGTGCTCTGCATGCTACACAATTGAAGGCGTAGTCACGTATTTGGCTGGTCATCCTGGGCCAGAACAACAGCACTCTAGCTCTTGCCACGCAGTTGTTGGTTCCTAAATGTGCACAATGTATCAGGTCTAGCATCGAACGCTGCAGTGCCTTTGGAACCACTGTCCTGTTGCCTTTGAATATTAATCTCTCCTAAGTAATGAGTTCGCCACGAACATGGAAGAATAAGTCAGCTCCTTTGGTAACTTTTTCTTGTCTTCCGGCCTACACAATTCGTCCTCCTCGGTGTATCATTGGAGATGATGCAAGCGTTCCTCATTGACGACGATCAGCTGTGTTGCATGGACAAAATCTGGGTCTTTTTCCTTTCCTGGCGGGTCTGACAGGTGCGCTCTTGACAGCGCGTCCGCAATGTGCATCTGGGATCCTGGCCGGTAGACAATCTCTAGATCATACTTCCGCAGACAAATAAGCATCTTTTGCATTCGGCATGGGACAACATGAAGCGGCTTGCTGGCGATCAACACTATGGGCCTGTTGTCGGTAATGGCGTTGGATTTGCGGCCATACGTATAGTCATTGAAACGTTCCACGGCATAAATCAATGCAAGCATTTCTTTCTCTATTTGCGCGTAATGACGCTTGGTCTCTGTCAGCGTCCGGCTACAGTAGTCGATAGGCTTAACCTTCTGCATGAGTACGGCTCCGATACCATACTGA